GCGAGCTCTGCTTGGGCACATCCAGCCGCCCGCCGAAGCTCAGAGTCCCCGCAGCGGCGTCATAGGTGAACAGCACCGGGAAGCAGTCGTGGCCCTGCGAGGGGGCGGGGGTGCCATTAGAGCGCCGCCGAGGGAAAACCGAGGCCGGAGGGGAGGCCAAGAGGACATCTGGCGGCTCGGGAGGCCTGAATGGCAGGTGTATCAACACCGGGGGCGATGCTGCGGGCTGCCCCCTCCCTCAGCAAGGCCAGCGTTGGGACTCCTGGGGACCCAGGCGCCTACTGTCCGGCCCGGCCAGTTACAAAACCTGCTCTAAGTGAGACCCCTGCAGCTGGTTGCTCTTTAAGGCAAAAATCAGGCCTAACCTGCCCCTGGCACCCTCATGTTTGCCGAGGGGTGAAAAAGGTCTTAATAGATGTGGGCAGAGGGGAGGGAGAGCAGCGCTCTTCCCAGACACCTGGAGGAACTGCATGCCCCGAACTCCTGCCCTTTGCATTAGGCGTGGCCTTGCCAATGCACCAGCCAATAAAATATGGGCAGAAATGTTAGGACCCAGGGCATGATTCCACAGGTTCCAGATGCCTCGTGGCATCTGGAGCAGCATGCTGGGGACAGCCTCCATCAGAGCCCCTCACAACAGCCACACTGGACATATAATGTGAGCAAGAAGTAAATCTCTTTTTTCTTTTTGGCGGGGAGGCGGGTGGAGGGGGATGGAATCTCACTCTGTGGCCCAGGCTGGAGTGCCGTGGCGGGATCTTGGCTCACTACAACCCCTGCCTCCGGGTTCAGGCAGTTCTCCTGCCTTAGCCTCCCCCATAGCTGGCTGGAGTTACAGGTGTCCGCCACCATACCTGGCTAATTTTTGTATTTTTAATAGAGATAGGGTTTTGCTATGTTGGCCAGGCTGGTCTTTAACTCCTGACCTCAAGTGATCTGCCCTCCTCAGCCTCCCAAAATGCTAGGATTACAGGCATGAGACACCAAGCCTGGATTTTTTTTTTTTTTTAGACAGATTTTCCGTTGCCCAGGCTGAAGTGCAGTGGCATGAACATAGCTCACTTCAGAAGTGATCCACCTGCCTCAGTCTCCTGAGAAACTGGGATTATGAGATTACAGGTGCACCACCACACCCAGCTAATTTCTTAACTTTTTGTAGAGACAAGGGTCTCACTGTGTTGCCCGGGCTGGAAACTCCTGGCCTCAAGTGATACTTCCACCTTAACCTCCCAAAGTGCTGGGATTTTAAGCATGAGCCACTGTACCTGCCCAAATCTTTACTCTGTTAAGCAACTGCAGCCAGGGACTTTCGGTTACTGCAGCATAACCCAACCTGTTCTGCCCAATTCTGGTACATGAGAGAATGCAAGGAAGAAAAAAAAGGAGGGAGACAGGAGAAAGGAGGGAGGAAATGAGTGAGAGTCGCTGGGCTCTTTGGGAAGCCTGTTCTGACCACACCACACCCCCTCCCCTTCCCTCCCCTCCCCTCCCCATTCCTTACCGCTGCCACCAGGCTGTTGTCTGTGATGAAGGTCAGTGCCAGCAGCGGCAGTGTTTCAGAGGCCAGGGTCGCAACACTGAGGGGAGAGAGCTGTCAGCCACGGTGTCCCACTCCTCTGCACTCACCTCCTCCCCAAGGATGGCCTCTACTCACGCCATCTTCTTCTCAGCATCAGCCAGACACACGGTGCTGTCATGGCTCACCCAGGCCACGCGGCTCCCGCTAGCTGAGAAGCAGACGCCATGTAC